TCGACCGCTCCCGCCGCGAGGAAATGGAGGCCGATTCCAGCCACATGGTGGCAAGGGCAGCGGCGGAAAGAAACAAAAAACGAGGCGGAGGAAGAACCCAAAAGAGCTTCTTCGCCGACAGGGACGACACGGACGACGACGCCGAAAAGGCGTGTTTTGTGGCCAGCGTAGGGCACGACAAGGACAAGGACAAGAAACGCTGCATGTCGCCAGAGCACTACTGGATGGTGGAAGAGCCGCCTGGGCAGACCGTGCTTGGTCCGCGACCGTCATCATCGGCGGCAGCGGCGGCGGTGCCAATGCTCCGACCCAAGGCCCGACGAAAAACTAGACGGACGGCAAAAAAGCATGGTCAAGGTCGAAGCACCGTGGGAGAGCAGCGGACGCCAGTCAGGCACGAAGGTGCCGAAGAGATGCGGCAACCCCTGTGGTGTGGCGGATTGCGCGTGTGAAGGTTTCGGCGCATGTGTTGGCCGAGAGGGCCACACCAGGAGCTGTCGGTGCTGTCCCCGATGGGGCAGCCGCGGCGACGTCCAGTGGAGCGAGCGGCAGTGCGTCGCAGGCAAGCAGAGCGTGGATTGCAGGTGAATGCGGAACGACTACCCACATACGAGCTGCAGGAGTGTGCATGTCGGTCCAAAGGGACCGTCAAGCGCCAGTGACTCCAAAGGTAAGTGCACCGGGGACGCCGAAGGCGGGTGTTAAGTATGACGTACCAGAAGGTGACATCAGGCCTTGGCTCATCAAACAGAAGTGGCCACCTGACGACCCCAGACGGTGCAGGAGATGCTCCGATGGCGGAACGGTGCAAGGTTACAGGAACCAGTACGACATCGTGTGGAACTGTGACTGCGGTGCGCGAACGGCCGAGAGGTACTTTCCGACGAGCAAGAAGTACCATCACGGACAGATCGAGAGGCGTTTCCATTACATGTCGATCGAGGAACCCGACGATCGCGACCTCGAAGAGTTCGCGGCCGTGGCTGACGCCACCTGCAACCAGAGTGAGTGCGACGATGACGAGATCGCTCGTTTGGATGCGATGTGCAGAGTACCATACACGGGGACGAGTGGCTGGAGCGGTACTCGGCGAAGCTGAACGAGAAGTACGGATTGTGTGGTGAGTCCCACCCGTACAAGGTGAAGTACTGGTTTGGCGGCGGAGAACGTAAGGAGGCGAAGTTCAAGGATGTACTGCCGATCGGTATCGGTGGAGGATGTGGAGATCAGCTTCAATCGGATCCCAAGGTCACCTACGAAGATGCTGCTGTCGCTCAAGACGCAGAAGGCGCTGGGCATCGACCTAGTCGAAAGGACGGCAGACTTCAGGAAGCTCGGCCTCAGTGGAAGCTACGGAAGACGAGTGACGGGTGCTGGGGTGTGGAGACCACTGACATTGTCAACGTGGGTTTTGACCAGCCGGAGCGGTTGGGGAAGGAGACTGTCACGGTACTGAACCCGGTGCTCGCCAGCCCGATTGCCCGCGCGGCCACGCGTCGTCGGGGCCTGGCTGCGGCGGCGGGGGGCGCCTCGTCGTTCCCATATCGCGAAACGGTCATGCCCTTGTCCCCCGACAGCCGACCGTGGCTTCGCCGACCTGGGCTCTTCTCCCGCGCGGGGCGCAGAGAGATTCGGCGCATCGCCAACTCGGCACCCCGCCTCTTGCCTCAGACGCTGCGCGCCGGGGGATGGTTGTTTCAACATCCCCCGTTCCCCAAGGTGCGCACCGCCGCCGAGAGTGCGATGGCGGCCTCGGCTACCGCGGTAGCCCGCTGTCGACGGGACTCCGGTTTACTTGTCCGCTGTCTCCCTGTCTCCCTGTCTCTCTCTCTCTCTATCCAAATTCCTTTTGACCCCCCCCGCCCCCGATTCTGCCGCCGCAATGCGACCGCGCGCGCGATGCAATACCCGTGGGCGCATTCTTGTAGCATGTCCTGACGTGCTCAACTTGCGAGCCCGTCAATTTTTCGTTGAGGCACCCGTGCGTGCATTTACTTGTAGGATGTTCTGGCAGGCCCAACTTTCGAGTCCGTCAATTTCTCGCTGCCGTGATCCGTCGCAAGCGTGTTTCCAGCGCTTGCGCACATTTCTTCCTGGATACTCTGATCGGTTGAATTTTCGAGTCCGTTAATATATCGCTGCAACACCCGTGGGCGGATTCCGCGTTGGATACCCTGATGGGATAACTTGTCGAGCCCGCCGGTTTTTCGCTGCAACACCCGTGCGCGGATTCCCTTTTGGATACTCTGACGGGCTCAAATCTCGAGCCGGTCAATGTTTCGGTGCAGCGCCCATGCGCGCATTCCTTCTTGGATATCCTGACGGGTGGAATTGTCGAGCCCTCTAAAGTTTCGCTGCAACACCCGCGCGCACATTCCTTGCCAGACAATCTGACGGGCTCGATGTTCGAGCCCGTATGTGTTTCGATGCAGCACCCGTGCGTGCATTTACTTGCTGGATGTTCTGGCGGGCCCAACTTTCGAGTCCGTCAATTTCTCGCTCCCGAAATCCGTCGCGCGCGTGTTTCCAGCGCTTGCGCGCATTTCTTGCTGGATATTCTGTCAGTGTTTCGCTGCAGCACCTGTGCGCGCACTCCTTGCCAGACAATCTGACGAGCTCAATTTGCGAGCCCGTCAATTTTTCACTGCAGCACCTGTGCATGCATTTTCTTGTTGGACGTTCTGACGGGCTCGATTTTAGAGCCCGCCAGATTGTCGTTTCCCAGGGAAGCGAGCACGCAGGAGATTCCAATAATCCCATCGAGAATGCGTCCTTTCCCATGGAACCCAAACGCCCCAGCCCAAGTGCAAAATAATACATAAGAAATGGCATCTATTCAATAGGTCTCATCCCCGATCTCGCTCAGCTGATAGCTGACAACATTCTGTCTGACACTCTGTAGGTGCATGGCTTAAATCTGGGTTGATCTACATAGGCTTGGCTCCACCACACCCTTCACGGACGAATCCTATGTTGGGCCGCCGCGCGAACCTAGGTAATCCCACGAGCACACAGGCCTTGCGGAGGCAGAGATAGCGACCACGCAAAGACACAAGATGCGCACACATTCAACGCCATGTTTCGGAAAAAGCTGGGCTTGTAAGACCACGCATGGCTCTTCCTCCCTCAAGTGTTCCGGCAAGGGGTTCCAGGACGGCTGGGAAAACACATGGTCCAATAGCTTGGCCAGGCTCCAGCCCAACGTTTGCCCGCATGGGCGTTTCGAACAGGAAGGGGGCGGCGGTGATTCCCCGCGGGCGTCTTCGATTCACCGCCCCCTGCGGCTCGTCACAAGGGCACAAAAAGGTGCACGGCGTGCGGGTGCACGGCGTGCCGATCATGTGATTGTTTGGGTCCTTTTAAATTCTTCCAAAAACCTCCGCCCTGACCCACCTGTCACCCGAAAAAAACCGCAAGGCGCGGAACAAACGGAAAAGTTGTCTCCAAGACGGGCAATATTCTTTCCAGAAGGAGAAGACAGGAGGAGCGCGCGACCACTGAACCTCACCACGGCGTGACTAGCACAGTAGCGCGAAACAGACGATCGCCAGTAAACCAGGAGCGCTACACGAACCGACCTGCAGTAGGCGAGCTCGTGCGATGAACTGTGGCCTGGGAAACAAAGAAATGACGATTCGTGGGAAAAACCACAAGGGGAGGTGAATGGGGACTGGAAGATGAGGAGGAAAGAGGGTGGGGGGGAGCGGAGAACACGCTCATAAACACAAACACAAACGCACAAACACGAACACGAACACAGACAAACACGCACACACACAAACACACACACACACACACACACGCAAACACATACACACACATGTTTGGCGTCGCGGCCCTACGCGCGGCGACAAGGCGTAGAAAGTAGGGTGCAAACACACACACACACACACATACACACACACACACGCACGCACGCACGCACGCACGCACGCACGCACGCACGCACGCACGCACGCACACACACACACACACACACACACACACACACACACACGCACACACACACACGCACAAAGAGAATCGAATCCGAAACGTATATGATCCGTGACATGACGACCGATCGAAGCTGCAAGACCCCAAGATAAATCTGGAAATCGCGTTGCCGAAGACAAAGCGCGCGAGGGAGAGATATCTCTCAAAGTGAGACAATTGAAATAGAAGCCAAACACGAGATGAGTCTCGGAACAATCGGTGGCCAAGACGCGCAAGATGACCTCAATATGGCCTGCCAGACGTTGAAGATGGTCCACGATGTCTCCAAGACAGTCCCAAGATGCCTCCAGGACCGCCTAGGTTGCCTCCAAGACGGCTCAAGGCAGTCCAAGCACGGCCCGAGATGGCTCCCAGACGTCTCAAGAAGTGCCCAAGATGGCCCAATAGGCCTCCATGAGGCCCAAATCGTTGATTTCTAGTGGATCTTCGATGACTTCAGCGTTCTGGCAGTTTCGGGCCTCCGACGCTTCAAGACGGTCCCAACGGCCCCGAGATCGCCCCGAAAGGTCCCAAAGAGGCCCGCCAGGCAGCCAAAGAGGGCCCCCAGGCGGCCCAAGAGGCCCCCAATACGGCCCTGAGGCGACCCCGTAGATCTTTCAAGACGGCCCAAAAGCGCCCAAATAAGGATGAACCCACGACTGCCCAGACAGGGCCCCAAGACAGCCTCCGAAGGCCAAAAGAGGTCTCTTAGAGGCCCTCCCCAGAGGCCACCATGAAGCCCCAGACGGCCCCCAAAAGGCCACATGAGGTCCCCAACAGGCGCCTCAGAGGCCCCCAAGAGAGCTTCAAGAGGCCTCCTCTTCTTCCTCCTCCCTCCTCCGCCTCCTCCTCGTCCTCGTGTCCCTCCCCCTCGTCCTCCTCCTTTCTCTTCCTCGCCCAAGTGTTTCCCCAAGGGGTTCCACAACAGTGAGAACCTACGATTCAATAGCTTGGCCAGACTTCGGCACAACGTCTGGCCGCATGAACTTTCCGACAAGGCAGGGGGCGGCGGTGATTTGCCGTAGGCGTCTTCAATACTTGCTGATCCATTCCTTGCTGGCATGACGTCTCTTGGCCTGCTCTATGAAGAAACTCATCGCCACGACGTCTCCTGGCCGCAAAGTCCTGGCAACAATTTGCTGCAGCTCCGTCCGAACGCCACTCCACGGGTTCTCCTCGGAGTTCGTCTCGATCATATTCCTGGCACCTTTGCTGGCCCAGCTGCGAATGTCGAATCCAACCAGCCCTCTGTGTGCAGGTGGTCTAGACAGGCTCCTCTTCCAACCTCCTTCTTCCCCTTCGGGGAGGGGTTTATCACTGTTCCCTATAACTATACACCCCCTGCCCCAGGCGACCGGCAGCCAAGCCAACCAGGAACAGTGCGCCCCCCCACCATCCCTTTGACAAAAACGGTGCAAAACGCACTCTGCCTCCATGTTTGGAGCATGCGCGGCCAACCCGATGCGCCCCCCCCCCCATCCCTGCCAAAAAGTAATGCACAATACACTTTTGGGCAAAGTCTTGAGTCATGTTCGTGAGGCCTGCGATCATTTTATATGGCTTTTGACAAGGGCGGCGGGGGTGTCAGCATATTGCCTGCTGTGCGCAGGGCTACCATCCCTGACAAAAAACCATACAACATGCACCTCGCGGCTAAATCTGGATCATGTGCGGGCGGCCACCCCGCGATCACTGTCTTGCGGTTTTTGATAAGGACGGCGGGGGTGGTGGCGTATGGCCTGCTGTGCGCAGGCCCACCATACACAATGATGGGCTGTGCTTGTCGACAAGGATGGTGGGGGCCGACACGTGTCCCGATGTGTGCTGTCACGTGCGCAGGCGCACCTGACACACTCTGCACATGCCCCGAACGTGTCGCACCTGGCGCGGCTGGGGTTTGCGGCACACCTGGCGAAAGCGGAGCACGTGGCGCATCTGGCGCACCAGGCGTGCCTGGCGCGCTCGGGCCCCAGGCGTGCCTGGCGCGTCTGGCGCGCCTGGCACGCGTTGCGCACCTCGCCCCAACGTCGCGCACATGGGGTCGGTTTTGGTTCCCAGCAGCCTTCCATCCAAAGACGACCGCTGAACATGAGCAGGCTCGGGTGTTACTGATGTGTTGGGAGGGCGGGTGGGAGCGAGCTGGACGGCTTGCTATCTAGAGGTGTCTTGATCACTGTTCCCTATTACTGTACACCCCTTGCCCCAGGCGACCGGCAGCCAACCAGGAACAATGAGAACACCAGACGGCCCCCCCCCCCACCATCCCTGTCAGAGAACAACGCAAAACGCGCTCTGCCTCCACGTTTGGAGCATGCGCGGCCAACCCGATGCGGCCCCCCCACCATCCATGTCAAAAACCAATACACTGTACACTTCGGGGCAAAGTCTTGAGTCATGTTCGTGAGGCCTGCGATCACTTTGCATAGTTTTTGACAAGGGCGGCGGGGGTGTCAGCATATTGCCTGCTGTGCGCAGGGCTACCATCCCTGGCAAAAAAAACCATACAACATGCACCTCGCGGCTAAATCTGGATCATGTGCGGCCACCCCGCGATCACTCTCGTAATTTTTGAAAGGGACGGCGGGAGTGGTGGCGTATGGCCTGCTGTGCGCAGGCCCACCAGACACAATGATGGGCAGTGCTTGTCGACAAGGATGGTGGGGGACGACATGTTTCCCGATGTGTGCTGTCACGTGCGCAGGCGCACCTGACACACTCTGCACATGCCCCGAACGTGTCGCACCTGGCGCGGCTGGGGTTTGCGGCACACCTGGCGCACGCGGAGCACGTGGCGCATCTGGCGCACGCGTGCCTGGCGCGCTCGGGCCCCAGGCGTGCCTGGCGCGTCTGGCGCGCCTGGCACGCGTTGCGCACCTCGCCCCAACGTCGCGCACATGGGGTCGGTGTTGGTTCCCAGCAGCCTTCCATCCAAAGACGACCGCTGAACATGAGCAGGCTCGGGTGTTACTGATGTGTTGGGAGGGCGGGTGGGAGCGAGCTGGACGGCTTGCTATCTAGAGGTGTCTTGATCACTGTTCCCTATTACTGTACACCCCTTGCCCCAGGCGACCGGCAGCCAACCAGGAACAATGAGAACCCCAGACGGCCCCCCCCCCACCATCCCTGTCAGAGAACAATACAAAACGCACTCTGCCTCCACGTTTGGAGCATGCGCGGCCAACCCGATGCGGCCCCCCCACCATCCATGTCAAAAACCAATACACTGTACACTTCGGGGCAAAGTCTTGAGTCATGTTCGTGAGGCCTGCGATCACTTTGCATAGTTTTTGACAAGGGCGGCGGGGGTGTCAGCATATTGCCTGCTGTGCGCAGGGCTACCATCCCTGGCCAAAAAAACTTTACAACATGCACCTCGCGGCTAAATCTGGATCATGTGCGGCCACCCCGCGATCACTCTCGTAATTTTTGATCAGGACAGCGGGGGTGGTGGCGTATGGCCTGCTGTGCGCAGGCCCACCAGACACAATGATGGGCTGTGCTTTTTGACAAGGATGGTGGGGGCCGACACGTGTCCCGATGTGTGCTGTCACGTGCGCAGGCGCACCTGACACACTCTGCACATGCCCCGAACGTGGCGCACCTGGCGCGGCTGGGGTTTGCGGCACACCTGGCGAAAGCGGAGCACGTGGCGCATCTGGCGCACCAGGCGTGCCTGGCGCGCTCGGGCCCCAGGGGTGCCTGGCGCGTCTGGCGCGCCTGGCACGCGTTGCGCACCTCGCCCCAACGTCGCGCACATGGGGTCGGTGTTGGTTCCCAGCAGCCTTCCATCCAAAGACGACCGCTGAACATGAGCAGGCTCGGGTGTTACTGATGTGTTGGGAGGGCGGGTGGGAGCGAGCTGGACGGCTTGCTATCTAGAGGTGTCTTGATCACTGTTCCCTATTACTGTACACCCCTTGCCCCAGGCGACCGGCAGCCAACCAGGAACAATGAGAACCCCAGACGGCCCCCCCCCCACCATCCCTGTCAGAGAACAATACAAAACGCACTCTGCCTCCACGTTTGGAGCATGCGCGGCCAACCCGATGCGGCCCCCCCACCATCCCCGTCAAAAAACAATACACTGTACACTTCGGGGCAAAGTCTGGAGTCATGTTCGTGAGGCCTGCGATCACTTTGCATAGTTTTTGACAAGGGCGGCGGGGGTGTCAGCATATTGCCTGCTGTGCGCAGGGCTACCATCCCTGGCAAAAAAAGCCATACAACATGCACCTCGCGGCTAAATCTGGATCATGTGCGGCCACCCCGCGATCACTCTCGTAATTTTTGAAAGGGACGGCGGGAGTGGTGGCGTATGGCCTGCTGTGCGCAGGCCCACCAGACACAATGATGGGCAGTGCTTGTCGACAAGGATGGTGGGGGACGACATGTTTCCCGATGTGTGCTGTCACGTGCGCAGGCGCACCTGACACACTCTGCACATGCCCCGAACGTGTCGCACCTGGCGCGGCTGGGGTTTGCGGCACACCTGGCGCACGCGGAGCACGTGGCGCATCTGGCGCACGCGTGCCTGGCGCGCTCGGGCCCCAGGCGTGCCTGGCGCGTCTGGCGCGCCTGGCACGCGTTGCGCACCTCGCCCCAACGTCGCGCACATGGGGTCGGTGTTGGTTCCCAGCAGCTGCCCATCCAAAGACGACCGCTGAACATGCGCAGGCTCGGGTGTTACTTATGTGTTGGGAGGGCGGGCGGGAGTGACCTAGACGGCTTGCTATCTAGGAGGGTGCCTTGACCCCTCCCCCTACCCACTCCCCTGGACCTGGACGGGGCGCTCCGCGAGCGGTCAGAGCATCTAAGATGGCCCAAGACGGCTCCAAGAGGGCCTCAGAGAGCCCAAGCTGACCTCCAAGATGGCACACGATAGCCCACGATGCCTCAAAATAGCTCCCAAAATGCTCCAAGATGCCCCAAGACCATTCCAACACGGTTCCATGTGGCCACGGAGCGTCTCACGGGGCCGCCAAGAGGCCAAAACCCTTCAAAACCTACGGATAATCAATGATGAGTGCCTTCTCGCCTTTTTGCTTTCGATGGCCTTCCGAGGCCTCACGACAGCTCCAAGAGAGCTCCAGAGAGCCCCAAGAGAGGCCTGAGAGAGCCCCAAGACGGCCCCGAGAGCGTCCCAAGAGCGCTCCAAGATGGGTCCAAGAGACGATTCTAGGCACTCTAGAGGGGCAAGGCTGATTGAAGACCCTCCCTTTTTTAATCGATGTCCTCCAAGATGGCTCCAAGAGGGCCCCCGAGCCTCCCAAGAGCGCCCCAAGAGGGCCCAAAGAGGTTATAAGGAGGCCCCAAGAGGCGCTCGAGAGGCCTCCAAGAGGCTCTCAAGAGACCCACAAGAGGCCCCAAGAGGCTCCCCGAGGCACGCAAGTGGCCCCCAGGACCGCCAAGAGGCCCCCCACGCGCCCCAAGAAGCCCCAAAGCTCGCCATTGTACTCCTCCTCCTCCTGCTCCTCCTCATCTTCCTCCTCCTCCAGCTCCTCGTCCTCTCCCTCATCCCTCGTCCTTCTTCCCCACCTTTCCTCATTCGGCAGGTCCGCGAAGGCGCATACTCTTCGTTCCTGGGTCTGCGCAGGCTGATCCAAGACTTCAGTTTGACGGCTTCCCCAGCTCTTGATCCACTGCATGCTCCTCCGCTTCCCTGATCAAAGCAACTCGCCTGGGCATTGTTTGTGGATGGGCCGGAGGGGATACGCGAAGCGTCAAGAATTCGCCTCGCAGGGCAAGCGACAATCCTGGAAAGAGCCTCTTCGAATGCGAGTCGCCTAGGAGAAAGAGGATCGGCTTCCTATGAGGATCTGCACTGGGCTCCAGGCAAGGCGACATCATGCCTATGATTTCAACTCGAGCTATCGACAGGTTGGGTTCTCGGGAGCATTTCCGCTGGGGGTCTGTGTGCGGCAAGTGGCAGTGCGTTCGGCTTTGGCAAAGCCAGCCGTCGCAATTAACGAATGATGCCCAACAGCCCTCGGGAGCTGCAGACCAGCTCAGGTCGAAGCATGAAGGCAGATCCGACCTGCTGTCGTTCACCGCCGCTGGCGGGGCGTGGAAGAACTCTGGTACTCTAGTGCACGCGCATCCTGTGCTGGGCAGCTGAATGTGTGGGGTCTTGAGGAGGTCGTACGCCTCGATGTCGAAGCGCGCCGCGGGCGAACTCCAGGACAGAACGGTCTCGAACAGCGGGGTCCTGAGCAAGGGCCAGCTGAGCAACAGGAGACAGGCCACAAGGGCCAGCGAGGCAGGCATCATCGCTGCGAAGACGCTCTGGTGCCTGCTCGGGCGCCAGGAGCGAAAGCCCGCCTCGACAAA